TTCGACTTTATTTAAGTCATCCTCAGGGCTCTAAAATGGAAAACAGTGGGGTTTTTAGCCTAGAGCCTGGTGGAGTTTCAACACTTAATGTGAGACATTTTTATACAATAAAATAAAAAAATTAAAAAAAACACTTAAAACTCAACTTCACAACAGATTAAAAATTGAATCACGACCATCAGACTATCCAGTTACATGACGTAGGAAATGAAACGACTCATCTTTAAACGTGAGGCTTAAAACCTAACTTATTTACATAATTTTTTTTTGTTTTAGATATGGTAACCCAAACTTAAAAAAGAACTGCATATTTCTATAAGGAAGATATTAGGAATTTCGGAACTACAGATAACGCACCAAGGCTTCAAAACGATGACAAGGAAAAATAGCTCTTTTTGTCCAACAGGAAAGATAGAAGAACCCAATACACGTGCAAAAAATGTCAAAAACTAATATTCTTGCAATGTGCAATTAAAATTTGTAAAAATTACCTCCCCTAGTGTTAAAAATTCTGGAAATATACAGGGCGTTCCGTAAATATGTTAACATATTTTAAGAGCGTGTTCTTCTAGTAATTTTAGAGGAGGAGTCTTCCTGAAAATTTTTTTAATTAGAGGTCTCTTTGTTGAGATATTTGATTTCCAAAATGGCGGAAAATATTGCTTTCTGTTGTTTTTCTTTAAAACGGTTAAACATAGAAATTTCAATTTTGGTATACATTATAAGCTAATTAAGTGCTATTTTATGGTAGTGTTTTGTGGTTCAGTTTACTTTTATTCAAGGTGACCTGCATTTGTTTTGTTCATGACTTTTTTGTGTGCACTTAAACTTTTACTCAGTATAATTTTTTAGTTGCAGTACCTACTTGCATTTTTTACAAAACAATATTTTTGAGTTATTGGAAGATCTACTACTTACTACCTCTCCAACTACGACAAGAAATTTGGCATATGCACGATGGCGCCGATCCTCATTTTTCTTTGCATGTCCGACATGACATTGGCTTGATCAAAACGTTCCAGGCCGTTCAATTGGGAGAGGGCAAGAAGCTCCTATAAACTGGCCTCCTAGATCTCCCGATCTAAACGAGCTTGATTTTTACTTCTTGGGCCATTTAAAAAATTATTTAAAAAATATTGACAAAGAAATTAAGTCCTAGTGCCTAAGATGGTACGGGCATGTCCATACACTACGCGATGACAGACTAATGAGACTGGTACGGAAGGAGAGACCGTAGGGACAAGTACATTTGGGAGAACACGCCATAGATGGAAAGACAAATAAAAGCAGATCTAACTAAAATTTTGATCCTTCTGAACACGAATCTTTTGGAGGACCGGGAGGCCTGGAGGAGCATAGTGCAGTCAGCCAAGACCCACTCGGTGTTATAGAGCTATCTTTCAATTAAAACAATTATGCTGATAAAAATATCAGTTCACACCAAAAAGTTCTGAACAACAAACAAGTATGACTTCCATTGACTCTGTATAAAATAAACTGAATTACAAAACATCACCTTTTAGGTAGGCACTCATTTAGCTTATAATGTATACCAAAATTTAAGTTCCAATTTTTAACCGCTTTAAAGAAAAACCATGAGAAACAACAATGAGACCTCAAATTGAAAAAAATCTCAGGGAGACCCCAACTAAAATGACTAGAAGAACACGCTATTACAATATTTTAACATATTTACGGAAAACCCTGTATAACAAAATACTGTTTTTTTTTATTACCCCCACATGGCTTTTTAAAAATCGATCTTTCATATCTTTTAACGCTCTTACAGTAGTTTGTTTAATATGTAAGAGCTATTTTCGTAGCAATTTGTTTCACATATTAATAATATAAGTAATCAATAATAAATCTAAAGCGGTTTTCATTTTTGTTACCTTTTATGAGGCCTAAAACCAATTTTTATGTGAAGTTTATAAGAGCACAATATAAATGCATGTACTAATGATTTAAATATAATTTGTTTTAATTGTTGTTTGTTTCAATAGTACATATTTGATTTCCAAAAATATAGTTTTTAATTTAGGGCCCCGGGGACACATGATCGGTAAGAATAAAATTGTATTCCCGTATATCCGTGCAGCAGAGTTGCTTTCTTTGTAGCACTTTAGCAACAAAACATCTGCATGTTAGGGTATTTCGCGTCAAAAAATTTTAGAGGAGAACTTACCAGAATATGGTTTGGATTTATCTATGTTTAATAATTTTTGTGAAAAATTTTCAGAATTTTTAATATAGGAAGTTGGGTTATTTCTGAGGGGATTTAAAATATTTAAATTATATTTGGCTAAGGGACGTGTAGGTAAATTTATACTTCTAACTATTGGACGAAAAGGAATATTAACTATGAATTTTAGGAACTCCGCCAAAATGTGGTGTTTTACTATTGTGTGGTGTTAATTTTGATCGAACGTAATCTGTGAATTCATGTTTTGTTGGCGTCAAAACGTTTTTCTTTAATTTTGAATATTATTTCATTTAAAAGTTCATTAATTTTTTGATCATAGATATTATAATCTATGATAACGGTCGCATGACCTTTATCAGGAGGCGGAATTTTAATTGTTTTATCTTTACAAAAAAATGCCTTTACAAAAAGACCAATAGTTAGTAGTATAAATTCACCCACACATCCTTGAGCTAAATATATTTAAAATTTTTTAAATCTTCTAATAAATAACACAACTTCCTATATTAAAAATTCTGAACATTTTTCACAAAAATTATCAAACATAGACATAAATCCAAACCATACTCTGGTAAGTTTTGATGTTGTTAGTCTATTCAGTAACGTCCCTGTTGATAAAACTTTCAATATCATCAAACAAAAATTACAAAATGACGTCAATCTTAAAAAACGTACACAACTAAGCGTTAACACCTTTATTGAACTTTTAACAACACGTGTAAAGTCAACTTATTTTCAATATAATGATAATTTTTATCAACAAAATTTTGCGGCTGCGGCTTTTACAAAAAAAAA